GTACGGGCACCAGTGCTAGGATTCCTCTGCCATAGTTCGAAGTGATACCCGTCTACCCCATCCCAAAACATGAGTGGGTATTGCAGGGCATCGTACGACCTATGGGTTTCAGAGATGCGCTGCAACGTTTCGGAACGTTTTTCGATGATAATGTCACGCCCGTCGCTGTCGTCTTCGCCAACCAAGACCACCGCCATCTCGCATACAGACGGAGCGTTGAAGCGTCGTTCATGCTGACCAGCAGGCCTCCTGTCAGCACGGATAACGACCTTATACGCGTCTGTAGGCATTCGGTCCAGGTTGGTCTTGAAGTCCTTCACCAGCTCGTTGTGCTGATGTAGCATTCTTTGCAGCTCTAGCACGACGTCCGGCCTTGTGCCACCGATGATGCCGCAACGCTGATCCGCTTGCAGCTGCTCGTCGCAGACGAAGTACAGCTGCAAGAACTTGGGGCTATCATTGCCATTAGGAAGCAGGGATCCAACTCTATGATAGACCTGTCCCTGCACCTTAAACGTTGGCATGAAGCCCTGTTCCTCAACGTCTGGCGTGGCAACTGTAGTGCCGAACGACGTCATCTGGAAGCACGCATTGTACTTCCTGATGTTCTGCAAGAAATGCCTGGACACAGCACTGGTGCCGGACATGTATGAACGAAGCGGCTCAGGCGGCTCACTTAGAGGCGGAAGATCGACCTTGCCGCTGGAGCAGCACATGCCAGGAGGTTCGGCTCTGAACTTCTTGGCTTGACACTTACCACATACGACATCCATCCTTCCGATTAGTACGTTCGGATGGGTCGAGTAGTCTACCTGGGCATCGTAGTTGAGTGCCGCGAGGTGGAGATCTACTCGCCTGGATGTCTGTCGAGTGTGGACATGCCGAGCACGATCACGTTCGAGCCGTACTGAGTGCGCTGCACCAGTCTCCGCTCTTCGTGAAGCCTCAGTCCTCATTCGACTGCTGTCGAGTCGAGACTCGCGCTCTTCAGCCGTCTCCTGAGACCTGGCTTCGGCGTGTCTCGCTCGGTCGTCATCGAGTCGAGATGTGCGCTCTTCAGCCGTCTCTTGAGACCTGGCTTCAGCGTTTCTCGACCGCATGTCTTGCAGTCGAGAATGGCGCTCTTCAGCCGTCTCCTGAGACCTGGCTTCGGCGTGTCTCGCTCGGTCGTCGTCGAGTCGAGATGTGCGCTCTTCAGCCGTCTCCTGAGACCTGGCTTCGGCGTGTCTCGACCGCATGTCTTGCAGTCGAGAATGGCGCTCTTCAGCCGTCTCCTGAGACCTGGCTTCGGCGTGTCTCGCTCGGTCGTCGTCGAGTCGAGAATGGCGCTCTTCAGCCGTCTCCTGAGACCTGGCTTCGGCTTGTCTCGCTCGGTCGTCGTCGAGTCGAGATGTGCGCTCTTCAGCCGTCTCCTGAGACCTGGCTTCGGCGTGTCTCGCTCGGTCGTCGTCGAGTCGAGATGTGCGCTTTTCAGCCGTCTCCTGAGACCTGGCTTCGGCGTGTCTCGCTCGGTCGTCATCGAGTCGAGATGTGCGCTCTTCAGCCGTCTCTTGAGATCTGGCTTCAGCGTTTCTCGACCGCATGTCTTCGAGTCGAGAATGGCGCCCTTCAGCCGTCTCCTGAGACCTGGCTTCGGCGTGTCTCGCTCGGTCGTCGTCGAGTCGAGATGTGCGCTCTTCAGCCGTCTCCTGGGATCTGGCTTCAGCGGTTCTCAACCGTTTGTCCGCGAGTCGAGAATCACGGCTTTCTTGTGATTCTGAGGCTCTCAGAGCAGCAAGCCGCAGGCGAGTTTGCGAGAGACTTGCTTCACGCTGTTCAGGCGTTTGCATTGCTCTCGCCTCGGCTATTCGGGCACGATTGCCTTCTAGCCGTTCCTGGCGCTGCTCCGAGGTCTCAGCCTCTCGTTGATCCCTGGCCTTTTTGGCCTTGGGATCAACCCTTCCGATAGATGCACGCTTCTTCGGCGGCATCTTGTGATGAGAGCCTTCAGGCAATAAGCTCCTCGGTACTCGAAGTAGAGCCTTCGGGCTTTTCTACTCGAGGTAGAGCCTTGCTGGCTTTTCGGTACTCGAGATGGAGCCTGTTGGCTTCTCGGTACTCGAAGTGAAGCCTTCGGGCTTTTCTACTCGAGGTAGAGCATGTTGGCTTCTCGGTATCGAGGGAGAAAGAGCCTTCAGGCTTTATCGCTCGGTCCTCAGATCCTTGGTCCTTTATCAGGTCCTCAGGTCCTTGGATCTTTGGTCCTCGCTTGGTACTCAGAGCTCCCGGTGGTTCAGTGGCCGCCGGCTAGCAGAGGTGAGTGACCGACAATGGCGAGATCGGCCGCCTTATATACCCCTCGAAAAGGGGCGGGGCCGGCTGTGTTTGGTCACACCAACTCGGAAGGGGCGGATAGTTTTTGTATGGAAAGCCTATGCTTAACCACACGAATTGGACCGCCCACTTTGGACCGCCCCTTGCCCCGCCCCCTTGGAGGGGTATATAAGGCGAGGCGTCGCTGCACCGGTCATTTCCGGTGGTTGCCTCGTGCCGGACGGTTGCCCATTCGGAGGACAACCATCGGATGCCTCAATCGGAGGACATCCACCAGATGCCTCACTTGGAGGAGAACCATCGGATGCCTCACTCGGAGGACATCTACCAGATGCCTCACTTGGAGGACAACCATCGGATGCCTCACTCGGCGGACAACCATCGGATGCCTCACTCGGCGGACAACCATCGGATGCCTCACTCGGAGGACATCCACTCGGTTGTTCGCCTCCATTCGGAGGTACAACCACTCGGTTGTTCGCCTCCATTCGGAGGTACAACCACTCGGTTGTTCGCCTCCATTCGGAGGTACAACCACTCGGTTGTTCGCCTCCATTCGGAGGTACAACCACTCGGTTGTTCGCCTCCATTCGGAGGTACAACCACTCGGTTGTTCGCCTCCATTCGGAGGTACAACCACTCGGTTGTTCGCCTCCATTCGGAGGTACAACCACTCGGTTGTTCGCTTCCATTCGGAGGTACAACCACTCGGTTGTTCGCCTCCATTCGGAGGTACAACCGTTCGCCTCCATTCGGAGGTACAACCACTCGGTTGTTCGCTTCCATTCGGAGGTACAACCACTCGGTTGTTCGCCTCCATTCGGAGGTACAACCACTCGGTTGTTCGCCTCCATTCGGAGGTACAACCACTCGGTTGTGGGACCAACCATCGGTTGCCTCTGTCGGACAACCGAGGTTGTAGCAAAAATTGAACCACTGGCTCAACACCTCCGTCGAGGTGAGCCATTCGGCCATCTCAGTCGAGGCGGAACCCGCGGTTCACTCGCCGAAAGCGTACGGATATATCAACACTCGGTGAAACCGGAATTTTTACAGAAAAATCAAAAATATTTGTATCTCGTTTCAGAGACATCCTGGGACCTTGCGTCAAAAACACGTATATGCTAACTTTTGATGGCCAATCCAGCGGTGCTACTCAAATATCTTTTCTTCTTCTCATTCGAAGACGCCATCATGATTTCCTCCCAATAAATTTTAAAAAACCCTAGAAAAACGGTTTTTTTTCTCAAAATACTTTTGTATGTTTACCCACATATACAGTGTGTGCATGCAAATGCAAAAATTCAACAATTTGTCTAGGTCTATCAGAACCTGAAATCCAAAAGAGTGTTTCATAAATAAAATATTTTTCAGAATAATTTAGACCTCGCCGAAAAAATGAAGTTGTGATTTTATAAAAATGACCAGTGTATTTTTAATACGTTTGAGCGTAGCATTAGCGCTCGAATTATTTTAGGGAGGAATAACCACAATCGCTTAACCCTTACCGAAATCCAGTCCTAAATAAGAGAAAAGAATATTTTGATGCAGGATTGAGGATATGAAATAAAGGTAACCTCGTTTGAATCAGCATTATCAAGTACCAATATACACCCTTCTAGTCCAAGGTTCTAAAAACAAAGTACTGGATATTCTCACAAACGGTTTACTACATTCGTAATCAGCATGCTCGATTATCCCCCCCCCCGTGCCAACTCCCAGCCCCTTAGCTCAAACTTTGCAAAAAAAATCGATAAAAACGATAAAAGTAGCGGATAATTCTAAAAACTAAAATTGTATTCGTAAACAGCATGCTCGATTACCCCCCTGTGCCAACTCCCAGCCCCGTAGGTTAAACTTTGCAAAAAAATCGATAAAATCGATAAAAGTAGCGGATAATCCTAAAAACTAAAATTGTATTCGTAAACAGCATGCTCGATTACCCCCCTGTGCCAACTCCCAGCCCCGTAGCTCAAATTTTGCAAAAAATCGATAAAATCGATATCGATCGATGACGAAAAGTAGCCTATGACACCCGCCGGGGCCCGTAGTGTATGTGTGCCAAGTTTGGTCCGGATCGGTTCAGAAATGGAATTTTCTATTTGGAACATACGTACACACAGACATACAGACAGACATACAGACATACAGACAGACATACAGACAAACAGACATTCAGCTTTATATATAAGAAGAAGATGTGTGCAGGCGTTAATTGTAAAATGAGGTACTAGTAGGACCTAGTAGGACCTGAAACACCGTAGTCCGAAATCTTCAGATGTGTTTGAGATTTGAAAATCTATAATGTCAATAATATAAAAAATATAAATCTTTCTTTGATATGAGCTTTTAGTCCTAGCATGACTAGCATAGTTTCATAACCAAAAAGAGCTTGGGGGTATCTAGGGCTTAGGATTATTCGGTATAATAAGGCATGTGTAAAAATACGTTGCACTTGTTACATTTTTTTAGCAGTTCCTTCATATCAGGGTTTTGAACTAAACTAGACTATACAAAATTATTGAAAAAGGAAGCTATAGCTTATCTGAAGAAAAACAAAACAGTTGAGCTGAACAAACTTCATTCTTCATTCCACCCTCACAACAAAATTATTTGCTATCCGATGCTGACTAAGCTTCAAAACACCAGAGCCACTAAGTTCACGTTGCTTTCTGCATCAATTTCAGATAGCGCTGTTCATCCTCGGACGTCATTCTCTACAACTATGGAGCAAGCTCATATCTGCACTACTATCCTTGGTAAGGCAGCCACAAATCTAAATGAGGGATCAGCTGATTGCTCACCAACATTTGATGATCGTGGATAGGGCACCTGACGCTCTGCTTGTTTCAAAACTTTTAAAGTTTTTCTATTAACTATCAGTCAAGCGATAACTGACGGAGAGAAAATGTTGCTTGAAGTGTCAACTCAACTTTTACAAGGCGTTTGAGACCAAATACTGCGCCTAGACACAAATTATGCTGCTCGCATAAACATGCTTCCAATTATTAGGTTGGTACATAAGTAATGCAACTTTTTATATAACTTTTGTCTATTTGAACGTGGCGCATTCATTTTTTGGCAATATAAGGAATATGATGTAAGCTTCTAATGCACACATTTTTGCCAAATTTTACCATCTTATGTGAGGATTACGGTAGGTTTACGGTACTATGGGAAAAATTTTAGAATGCATCAGATTTTGCTGAAACTTGGCCTATAGGGCATATTTGACATGTTGATCACGAAAATGAGATCCGTTTCGCATGAAAAGGCCTCGTTCGTGAGATCAAAAGATGAATTTCATTTTAGCGACAAATGAATATGATATTCGTGTTTATCGCATAGAATTACCGTGCAAAGTTATAGCGAATTCTGACTTTTCGCAGCTTAGTTATTGACAAATTGCCCTCAAAACTTGACGCATTTGACTTGTTCAACTTCTCAAAGGCGCCTCACCTTAATTTGTGTTCAAATTTCATTTCTTTTTCACTGATTCCAATGTGCCAACTTCCAGCTACATGCTGCCTATAACTGCTTTTTCATATGTTTGAATCAGGTTTCGAGGGCTTCATGTTTGCCAAAATCGTGAAACCTCGATTTTCAGCAGTTTTCAAAAAATGCTTAGATTTTTTGTACTACGTTATCAAAAATCAAACGGTTTGCGCAGTCTTGCAGCTTACATCACGATCTACATGATGCCACAAAATGAGATTGCCACATAAATCTGAAAAAAAGTTACGGGAAATGTTGCAAAACTTATGTGCCAACCTAATAACTGCCTTGTCTAAAATTATTCGATAATTGAACAAATGTATTTCTCAGAATGTGATATCGGTTGCAGGGTTATGATTACAGATTAGGCCAATAAGAATTTCAAAACAGCCGTACGGAGACATCATTCAGATCGAAGAACTGATGAAAAGGTGATCCCTTTTAGTTGTTTATGTCTGAGGTGTGCATGTTCTTATGACTAATGACACGGGGTAGATTACAGACAAAAAAAGGAGATTAGAGACAGAAAAAACGTAATTACTTGCTACGACTTCGTCAATCTGAGCCTCCGTTTTCCTAGCTTTTGATATTTTTCTCCACCCATTGTCGTTGAATGGTGGATATTGTATTTTGTGGCCACGTCTTTAGATATGTTGTGATTAGCTGCAAGATAGATCTCTCACTAAGACCCTGGGCATACCTCACGCGATTTCAGTCGCGAGATGATTTGACAATATTTCAAATGTTCATAACATCGTAAGGGCTTCGGAACATATGGAAGATAGGGCATTTTATCAACCTACGAGAGTCATTTGAAAACATCTGGCAAATTACCAGATTGCGTCGCGACTGAAATCGCTTGAGGTATGCCCACGGTCAAGAAGAATTATTCACTGCCTTTATTAACGCTCAAAAAGAAGCACAACTTGTTGAGATATGGGACCTTCAAAAATCCATTTTAGAAGAATGTACAAATCCGCTGCATTGCCGAAGATTAAAAGAATAAAGTGGGATCAAAAAGATGCCGACGGAAATATCGTCATACCATACACTATCGTTGCGACCGATTATGGTATATGTTGAGTGATAGCTTACACATCCAATGCGAGATGTATGTTTTTAGTGCAGCAGGCAAGGGAAAATATCAGCAAAGCAATGAAAAGAATAGAGGATCACACGTGCATACGTTTTACAGAAAGAAAGAATGAGAAATACTACGTGGAGATCAATAATATCATGGGAAGAGGGTGAGTTTTTGTCGAATAATGGATTCCAAACTTGTTATGCGCGTCTCAAAGACTAGGTCATAAGTCCCAGCCTGCGCAGATTTTCCGCGAAGTATTGCCTCTCGGCGACATTCACTAGTCCAAGAATCTGCTCGCGACTGCGTTTTTGCATGTTACTTATGGCATCGAATATGTATCAGGTTGACACATAAGGCTCCCGCCAGAGTGCCGAAGCCATGCCAGCGCTACGCCAGCGTCGAGCCAGCGTTTCGATCGATACACGTGTATTTCGTTGGGGCGGGGCTAGCTGACCTAGTTCTCAGCCAGGGCCCCTCCCCAACGAAATGCACGTGTATCGATCGAACCGCTGGCTCGGCGCTGGCGTAGCGCTGGCATGGCTTCGGCACTCTGGCGGGAGCCTAAGTTTTGCGCTCAGTTTCGCAACTTTTTTCTTTCTGACTGTGACGCATTGGTTTTAATCATAACCGGGTCGAGCAAGAGGTGTGGCACACAGTCCCGGATTCCCTCTCCCTTAGTTCTGCCTCACCCCCCCCCCTTCCATCACTATCGTTTGTATAGTGTAGGCATAACATAATGGCTCCACCAAGCATAAGTAGTAGCATACTCGTATTTATCATGGCAAATAAACCCCTGTGAGACGAGTTTCAGTGAATCCTGAGGGCTTTGAATATGGGCCGATTGAAGTGGTCATTTTCAAACGTGGTTAACTTTATCTCAAAATCAAAACAACTCTCTCTCTTTTTATACTCATTACAAGGCACCATTTCATATTTCCCCTAAAACATAAATCTTGCTCCAATTAACTATCAAAGTATGGCATTGGGAGCCAGTCAAATTCTCATTCACCCCATTTTTCGCCACAGTGGTTGTGTTTCCGGCACTAATGCTCAAACGAAAGAAGACGAATCAAGCTCTTACCATTTCCATAAACACTACGAGGCTTTAACTATCACAACGTGTATATTTTGCTCGCTAATATTCTCTTTGAAGGTAAGCTAATGGGATGTGGCACAACCCCAGAAAATCTGTGGCTGCCACACTTTTCTAGGGGTTGCGCCATGCCCCATTCACTTACCTTCAGAGTGGCATAACGGCTATGAATTTCAGTCATTTAACTAGTTAAACGTTTTCCTCTGCGCTATATGAAACTTATCCAAAATCTTTGAATTATCTCCTTTTGTTCACATAATTTTTTATCTCCACAAATCTGTTCTGCAACCGAGGTTTACCTTACAGTAGCATGATTTCAAAACTCCTTTTCTCCACTTCGTTATATCCGAAACAGCAAAAATGCCGATACTCTTTGGTTAAAGCGCACTGCAGATGGGCAACACACGCAGCTGCCGGGATCAGGGGGTCGGAGCCGAGTCTCCGCCTACCTTCACTTTTGAGCTGGTACGGGGTGACCACCTTCACTTTTGGGTTTGAAAAAAATTTTTTGCTGAAGCTCAAAGGAAAATAAGCAAAAGGAAGGTGAAAGAAAGTATTGAGAGCATATATTTATGTATTAAGTCGATCCAGAGAATAACCGCCGAGAACCAGAATTTCGAATGATAAAATAATGAAAAATCATGCGATGATTCCATTGTTATAAATCTGCTGGTTGAAGATGTCAGCAATTGCGACTTCATAGGTTTTGAAGGGCAAGTGTTGTTCTATCAGATAGTAAAAGAATTAGGTCGATCTGAGCAGTGGCCGCCGAGAACGAGAATTTTGAAAAATTAAGCGATTTTAGGTTACTTAGTGACAGCTGACGTTTAGACTCCTATAAATCTGGAATGTGAAGGAGTGCAATATTGCGACTTCATAGGTTTTGTAGAGTAAGGATTGCTGTATCGGACCATGTCTTAGCCGTAACGATCCAATAAAATATCGCCGAGATTCAGGCTCTTGAAAAAACAAGTGAAAAACCGCTTTTTGAAATTCAACAGCGCATAACTTCTTCAGAATTGCATGAATCATGTTGCGACTTCATAGGTTGGATTCTCCTCATCAAGAGCTTTCAGATGATATATAATATGTGGGGATTTGCGCCTCTCACGGCATACGCCCGGGGGTGGAGACTTTTCACCCCAAAGTCTCCACTGGCGGTCTCCGGCCAATACATTAAATGGGCGAGGTGGAGACTTTGGGGTGAAAAGTCTCCCCACTGGGTTAGAGCCGCAAAAATCATTGACCCCCCCCCCCCCCACATACTACATATCATCTGAAAGCTCTTGATGAGGAGAATCCAACCTATGAAGTCGCAACATGATTCATGCAATTCTGAAGAAGTTATGCGCTGTTGAATTTCAAAAAGTGGTTTTTCACTTGTTTCTTCGAAAGCCTGAATCTCGGCGATATTTTATTGGATCGTTACGGCTAAGACATGGTCCGATACAGCAATCCTTACTCCACAAAACCTATGAAGTCGCAATATTGCACTCCTTCACATTCCAGATTTATAGGAGTCTAAACGTCAGCTGTCACTAAGTAACCTAAAATCGCTTGATTTTTCAAAATTCTCGTTCTCGGCGGCCACTGCTCAGATCGACGTAATTCTTTCAATGTCTGGTAGAACAACACTTGCCCTTCAAAACCTATGAAGTCGCAATTGCTGACATCTTCAACCGCAAGATTTATGAAAATGGAAATTTCGCATAATTTATCGTTATTTTATTATTCAAAATTCTGGTTCTCGGCGGCTACTCCCTGGATCGACCTACTTTGTTTGCAGTACGTTATGACAAAATTTACTTAATAAAATCCGTACAGTCCCGCTATCTTTTACTTCCAAATACACCATTTACTAAACACGTTTATTTTAAATATATATGCCGCCGTATACCTAAAAATATGCTTTCAATAATCTTTTTTGCGTTTGTTTTGCTTATGTTCCGCGCACTGGCGGCAGCGACCTGTGGCCGTATTCATCAACGAACCCTGAGGGTTGAACTAACCCTGCAGGGTTAATTTAACCCTGGAGAGCGATTAACTCGTATTCATGAAACACAGGGTAAGCTTAACCCTGAGGGTTAAATCTAACCTTGAGGGTTAATTTTACCCCGAAAGCGACTAACCCGTATTCATCAACGAATAGTGAGGGTTAAACTAACCCTGGAGGGTTAAACTTACGTGATTCATCAGGGTTAATTTAACCCTAGCTTAGAGCAAGGTTAACTCTACCCTGACACTTCATACAAACATTTACTCGCATCTAATAGGTTTATAAAAAGCGATCAACGAGTATTGTATTATTCAGTATTAGATTGTTGTTATACTATTTAGGTTCGACTTCGTTTTATGTTCAAATTCGAAGTACATGAAACTGAGTTCGCGAGAAAAAGAATTCTAGCTTTGGTGACAAATGAATGCGACGAGGAAAAATGGTTGCGCATTCCACTTTGACAAGTGCTAAAACAGAAGAACTACTTTATGATAACACGCACTGACCCCTAAAAGAGTAGCACAAGCCCGGTATAAAACGAACTGCGCAAAAGTAGAACTTACACGACACAATTGCACACATGAAAATAAACTCACGCTGTAAGTTTGGATGCTGCACAAATATGCTAGAGATGTATTATAAAAACTAGTGTTAGAAGCTTATTTGTTGATTATACTACTATAACAGTGCAAGAATGGAAGTATAAAGTGAATTTAGTACGTACTTAGGCATTCTGTGATGTGAGTTTGCACAGCGCACGCGTAACTGACGCTTTTATCCTCAGGGTTAGTTTAACCCTCAGGGTTCATTGGCCGTATTCATCAACCACAGGGTTCGTTGATGATTACGGCCACAGGTTCGTTGATCGATACGGGCGGATTGCGTTCGGTGGCAAACCCTTCCTATGGTTGATGAATACGGCCAATGAACCCTGAGGGTTAAACTAACCCTGGGGGTTAATTTAACCCTCAGGGTTCGTTGATGAATACGGCCACTGGAAGGATAGACTCAGTTGACGTTACCCCCCCCCCCTTCTACCCCCCGTCGACGTTTTTGGGAGGTGAGTGTCCGGCACTACCACCTTCACTTTTGGCTGGTCAGTGGTAGCTGGAACCACCTTCACTTTTGGGGGGCCCGGCTCCACCTATCGCACCTCTGGTCCTCATGCCTCTTCGATAATCCGAAACGATTATCTCGTTTCCGAAGCGGCAATTGCATCGCGAGTTAGACATTGGCATGGTGGGTGGTCCTACTATCATAAGCTGAAAGCTAAAGATTCCCAACTTAGGGTGAAAGTAGCCTTTGAGACGAGTGCGATAATAAACAGCTTTTCTAAAATGGCAGTGTTGACCAATTCCTGACCAATTGCTCGTCAGCTTGTGTGGCGGTCTTTGCCCATTATGCTCATTATTCATTATGCTGGTTGGTAGTGATCCTCAGCGGAGCGCACGTGCATGGATTTCAGGGCCGCATGCATAAAATCCTCGCTGAGGAGGGGAAGCATAGAAGAAAGCTTTATATTCTTGAGCTCTAAACTTCTAAATTTCTCGCTGTCTATCCATCTAAAAGTGTTTCTATTTTTCTTTGATATGGGCATGTTGAGCAGGAGAAAAGTTGTATAGACCGCAGATTCCAGCTTTTTACGATCTTGTGATGATCTCCGGCAGCTGCCCGAGTAGTCATTTTTCATCTTTCAAAGGTGATGGAAACATTGCAGAATTGTACTGATTATCTAGTTCAGCAGTGCTATTCATGTTTCTAATAAGAACAAATGAGTTATAAGGATGAGATTTTCGATAAACTCCGACTTTTTTGTGGTTTATCGCAATTCTAATGACTTTGATAAATCATATGTATATCTATTAAGAGCATGCTTACCAGCGTTAGAAAAGATAATCAATACAAACCTTCGAAGAAGAAAATGATTTGAGAAAAGCGGTCGACCGCTAGAGGCCATCAGAGGATCATAACGAAAACTGGAAAAAAAGCTATTTACGACTTCTCTCTTCTCTTCACAGTATCTAGAAAGCAGTATAATTACTTGCAGGAGGATAAGCAGGAGAGGTCTAGATGATCAGAGTTTCAAGATTTGAAGCTTTCTTTTGAGCTGCGTTTCCCTTTCCAGCGGAAATGTTAGTGCAAGTGGTTAGGCTCCCTGCAAGTGGCTCTTACAGGGATAGTTGGTCGATTTGCTTGCTCATTTCCTTTCAGAATAACATTGGGTGATGCAAAAAATACGGTCGATTCTTCCAGGCCTTTTCAGGGCAACTTTTTCTTTGCCATAAAAAAAGTTGCTTTCATGCTCTAGTTGGCTGAAGCAAACTTCCTATCTAATCTGTCATAAAGTTACCAAGCTTCAAATAATCAACCTAAATTCAGAATTTCACTGCATTGATTTTCTGGCCGAAATTCGAGCGCGTATGATTGGCACTTCCCCAAAAATTAAGCTATTGTATTTAATAGAAATTGTCTACTTAGGCATACTTAACTGTATTTTTTGAAGTTATTTAGATTGAGATATCAACGCTTTAACATGATAGCCGTTGCAATCATTTTATGACCTATAAATTTCTTTGAGGAAGTTAATCGCCAAAGCTTTGCTCAATTCTGTAAGCGTGATGCTAGGGAATCCTTTTAGCAGTTTTTGCACAAACATCCAACTGCTCACTAAGAAGAAAATCAGAAATTTCTGTATTAGAGATTTTGAGGCATACTAGAATAATGTTGAAAAGACTGACAATTTTAAATCTTGATTCTTCCCTTTTCGTAATTTTTTCCCAAATCCTTTTCATCGTATTTTGTACCATTGACTTGCGGCTACAAAGTCAATCATACTAACAAACTTTGAAGGAAGTTATGATTTGCCAAAAACAAGGCTTTAGAAATAAACCTACTCCGTTTGTTAATCCATGTTTTTGTGTTATATTAAATTGGTGCAAAAGTTTTGTCAGTTTTTTCAATCCATCGACAAACACGCTAGAATGAAGATAAACAAACATTTTGAAATGCTTCCGATGCAGAAATTCTTCCTCTTTCCAGCAGCCAAACTCGCACTGTGTTTCGTTGCGAGAGTGAAGATATATGCTGGAAATTACAACCACTCGTTACTATGTCCAGATTTCGCTAATTTTCAAAATTTTTGTATGAGACTCTCGGAGGAGTCCTAATAACCAGCAGATAGGGCAAACCTTTTGCCAACAGAAGCAATTTTTTGTAGCCTACGTCTTGTCTTCCACAATTTCTACGATTTATTTTTTGATATGACCAAATTTTACATCCAGCCTATTTTGACTTTGTTGAACATGAAATGTAACACTTCAATACCATTCGATGTAACTTTTGTCGAGACGGGCAAAATTTGGGGGGAAAATCGCAGTATTTCTTAATTTCAGGAGTGCGCACCGACGTAACCTAGATTTCAAATCTTCATAATTTGAAACGAAAATCGCTCATTTACTTTGTAATGGTAGCGGTAGTAATAATCGAGTGCTGAAAGCTCACTATTCTGTAGTTTTCGCAGTGTTTGTTGCAATGACAGGTTATGTGATTTTTCCAAAACACAAGACTTTTAGAAAATTATTTAGCAAAAATCTGAAAAGCAGCTGGAAAAAAAGAAAAAAATTGCGTAAGTTGGCAAAAGGTTTGTCCTATTTGCTGATTATTAGGGCTCCTCCGGAAGTCTAATACAAAAACTTTGAAAATTAGCGAAGTTTGGACATGGTAAAGACGAGTGGTTGTAATTTCTAGCATATATCTTGTCACTCTCGCAATGAAACACAATGGAAGTTTGGCAACTGTAAAGAGGAAGATATTTTGCATTGGGTACATTTTAAAGCGTTTGTTTATCTTCATTCTAGCGTGTTTGCCGATGGATTGAAAAAACCGACAAAACTTTCGGACCCATCTAATATATCTTGTCAATCTTGCAACGAAACACAGTAGGAGTTTAGCAGCTGTAAAGAGGAAGAAATTCTGTATCGGATACATTTTGAAATGTTTGTTTATCTTCATTCTAGCGTGTTTGCCGATGGATTGAAAAACTGACAAAACCTTTGCACCAACCTGATACACCAACCCAATACATACAGTCTGCCCCAAATCGGGATCGGGCCGAACTGTCAGCTGAGTATACGCGCTCGCAGAACTAGTGGCTTGCGCTCGTGCGCTGTCGCAAAGAGCGAGGAGATTGAAAAGGGAGCAGACTAGTTAACCGTAGACGTGACGCGATTCCCTCGCGATACGAGATTCCGTCATGCCAATTTTGACCTGGTTGGGATTGAGGAAGACAGTAAATGTGCGCTGTATTGCGGAAGGTTTGCTGCTTCTGATGGCTTTTACCGCATTTAGGAATGTGGATTTTTAAAACGTTATTGCACGTCAAAGTGAGGATTAGCAAATATTTTATTTGCTAATCCTCCTTTGCCATTATTTTTGCACTAATCTGATATTTTTGCGCTTTGAGTTTAGTTGAGGTTAATTGATGTATTACTTCCACACCAATTTTCCTCACACCCCCCCCCCCCTCCATTCTCGTTCTTCCCGCCCAAATTCTGCTTCGCTTTCAAAATAGAAGCTGCCTTCCGCAAAAATGCTCGTTGACAAATGTTCTTGTGCATTCCATGAAACCCTTGTATATTACAGATGCCGAACATATGTTGGTAAAAATCTAAAGAAAGGTAAAACTATTATGCTGCTGGAATTCAATCAAAATGATACGTAAGGATTATTTATGTAACGAAACCGTTCAACGTTGATAGCTTTCAAACTTAGTTCTCACATTACAGTTGTATGTATATAAGTTCAATCCAGCACGAGCTATTACATGCTGTAGGACTGTGGCACGAACAAAACAATTATAATCGCGACAATTACATCAAAATAAATTATGCAAACTTATTGCCAGGTTTGTCTGAAACTACTCTTTTATTTTTTCTTTATTCCATTTCAAAGCATAAGAGATTGTAGTTACAAAACTGTTTGATGCACTTGATGGCCGTCATCTCCTCGTTTGCATATAACATAGAAAAACAGTTGTTTGATCAGCCGACTTCTTTCTTTCTTATTTGCTTCGGCCAAAAGTATATAGGTCATTCGAAAAATGGTGACGATGGTGCGACCGCGCGCGACACGCACGCATCCCCCAGCAACCGCGTTTTCTAGGTTTTCATCTTTACTCGAATGGATCTGCTTACATATGACAGTACATGAACATTGAAAGAGATTGAGCTGGGAGTTGCGGCGATGCCATTTTGTATGAGTATTTTCTGCTCCTGTTTGCGCAAGGACCACAGCCAAATCCGTCCTCACGATTTTGTTAAGGACCTATACTTGCTATAAGCTGCAAAATCACAATTTAATGCGTCTTTCAAAAGGAAGGCGTTTGGAACAATTTTTATTAATTTTGTTACGTCAAAGGAGTTAAGCACACTGTGTAATTTTGCACTGCTTCTTTCAGAAGGTGCGAAGGTTTTCCATAAATAGAATAAATAGGTGCAAAATTTTGATTTTCCCTCTATGATTTGTTTCACTTAGGTTACTCCGCGCAGTTCAGAAAGCATCCGAATATAGACGCAAACATATACAACCTGACATACGACTACATGTCCATAATGCACTATGAAAGAGATGCGTTTTCAAGAAATGGTAAAGACACCATTGTAACATTGGACCCTAAATATCAGGTTTGTGTTCACATGCAGAACTTCAGAGTCAGATGAACAAACTGCCGACTCTCTAAGCAAATAGTTTGCAGAAGTTTTTTTTTGAGTTTTGCAGGATATCATTGGGACTGTACAGGATGCTTCTCCAACAGACTACCTGAAAGTATGTCAGATATATGCATGCAAAAAATGCAAAATTCCAAAGTGAGACTGATAAGAAATGCAACTCGATTGGCCTATGCTATTTCTCAAACGTTGCCGAAACTCCGTTTCCATGAAATAAATGCTTCAATACAAATCTCATGTTGATCAGTCCTAGAGGAAGTAAGAAGAGTCTGTTTGCTCTCTAAAAAAAAACTGAGTGGCATTCGCAGTCCCGCTCAGGTCACAATGTGATCTTGGGTACAAAAATGGGCGTATAGCAGAAACAAAATGCATTACTGCATTTTCTTCCACTTCCTCTCCCCTGCCCCCGCCCCTACTCTCGCGCCATACGATGCTGCAGCATAGGGTTGCATGCATAAGCATCCCCGCGGGGGAGGGATCGCAGCTTAAAAGAAAGCTTCATATCCTGAAGCCCCAGATATCTGGATTTCACCCTGACTACCTGGACGCAAATCCTACTATCCTTCACTATGATTATATTGACAGGAGCGAAAAGCTGTACAAGCCGCATTCTTCAGCTTTTTGTATGATCTCCTGGAGATCCCCGACGGGCGATCGTCTTTTTTCACAGTCATTTTTCTTTCTTCAAAGTCAATGAAAACGTGCCAAAGTGTACTTATCATCTAACGAACAATACTAAGCATACAATACTAAGTTTGTGATAAGAACAAATGATGTATTGGAGTCATGTGATTTGCGATGAACCACAAGTCGAAAGTTGGGGTTTACTGGAAATTTCGATATTTCAAAAACTTGTTTGTTCTTATCAGCAAAATGCCGAGCAGTGTTGAGTTAGATAATCAGTGCAGTTTTGAAATGTTTTCTAAACTTCGAACAAAGAAAAATGACATTTAAAGAAAGAAGATCGCGGCGGGGATCATTGGGGATCACACAAAAAGCTAAAAATTACTTGTTCAACTTCTTCCTCAAGTTCAATATGTTTATATTGAATGGTAGGAATACTTGCGGATAGGCGGACAGCGTGAAATTAGACATCTGGAGCTTCTAAATTCGAAGTTGCATGCGGCCCATAGACTTACTTGCCACACAAATGAACCTTGGGTAACCTCACGTTCCCCCCCCCGCGGAATGAAAATGGTTTACTGCTCGAGAACTCTTCAACATATATTACGAAGCAAACTAGTACTCTGACATGTAATAGGATATAGGATATATAGGATTATTGCGATGATTTGCTTGTGTCATGTGTTCCAAATGGCACCCTTGAGATTTTTCACTGAATACGGCTGATCGCTTAGTCTTTTGCATAAGGAAGCCCGTCCAAAAACCTGGAAGTGTGGCGGACCATTTGATGTAAGCTAATCTTTATGAACCAGCACAAATTTTGCAATGATCAAATGGAAAATCGCGAGCGCAGTCCCAGCGATAAAATCCGACTTTTTATAAAGACCCTAACAACAGATTGGCTTACCAAGAAAAAGTCTCAAGCCTCCTTAGCGATCTGGTCCGAGAATATCATTAGATTCGTCTCCTTGATCTGATTCCAAATCTTCCTTCCATATCTGCTGAATTATCCTCTAAAGTTGTTCAAACCCTATCGTTTATTATGGAATCTGAGAACTTTCTTTTTGAGAAATTAGCAGAAGAGGTGTGAGCAAGCAATCAGTAAAGTTTGTCCACAAGTCAGAAAATGAAATCGACATACAGCTTCGAAAGAAATTCGTCAAAATCTGGCTCTTGAGGTTTTTGCGGATAAACCTTCTTGGTTTTCTACAATCCTCTACGGATTCGGAATTGCTCAAAAATTAAGAGATCCTGTTCTTGGAAACGCTTCTTGAAGCAAACTAATGAGCTGTTCCTTACTTTAGTTTTTCGCCGCAAGGTCAGATGCGTCGAGGTGGGGAATTTGCCTGGACATAAGTTTTGAATTCGAAGAAAACCTAGCAGATCGTAACGCGAGCTAAATCTGCGAGCCTTTTTGAATGCAGTTTTTTCTATCATTGCTCCCAGATTTGTGTAAAGACGGAGTCTTGCCAACTCAAAACGGGACGGTTTTGATAGCGAGAGAGTACGAAGAGTGCTATAACGTGGAGGTTTAACAAGTTCGTCCTCATATTCAAACAAAATAAGCAACCCTCCACACGAATTGAACCGACCATACATAAGAGAGGCCCTATGCAGTGGATTTGGGCAGCTGTAATAAAGGGCCTTTTAACAAAATCCAGAAAGTTCGAATCTCATCGCATTTGAAAAGACACTGCCGGCCTACGGCCGCATGCATTGAATGCAATGTCCGGACTAGTTGAAAGTTTTAGTGCCATGCGAAAGTAGGCCCCGCGAAAACGCCATTGCGCAAGTGCGAGGTCATAACGTTTGACCACAAGCAAGATATATGGTAGGAAAGCTGGGGTGGAGCTCTCCACCTGTTCGAGTTTCTGCTCTGCGGCAGAATACCCATGGATAGGCGTGCAAGTGTTACCCAGGCAGCCGACTGGTGCCGCAGCCAGCCGCCAGAGCTGGCACCAACGCCGCGGCTGAGCTACCGTAAGCGCGCTCTTGTCGTCCGCAACCTCTCGCAGAGAGATTTTCGCAGCAGCCTCGCACCTCATCGCGCTGACCTGCGAGAATTCCCTCAGAGGTCGAGCTACTGCCACATATTATATATCGATCAACACTGCGGAAAATTTGTAGTTTATTAGTAACTAGCTGGCTTACCCGGCTCCGCCGTATGTTCCAAATAGAAAATTCCATTTCTCAACCGATCCGGACCAAACTTGACACACATACACTTCGGGCTCCGGCGGGTGTCACAGTCCACCTTTCTCTATCGATCGATGTCGATTTTATCGATTTTTTGCAAAATTTGAGCTACGGGGCTGGGAGTTGGTACAGGGGGGTAATCGAGCATGCTGATTGCGAATAAAATAATGACAGGGCCGTGCGGAGCCGGGTAAGCCATCTAGTGGGTCCATAAAAATCTTTATTCTTCCCCACGGGGGTGATCAGCATGCTCGATTACACCCCTGTGCCAAATCCCAGCCCCGTAGCTCAAACTTTGCAAAAAAATCGATAAAATCGATAAAAGTAATGCACGATTTTTAAACTAAAGTGGTATTCGGAATCCCCATGCTCACTTACCCCCTGTGCCAACTCCCAGCCCCGTAGCTCAAATTTTGCAAAAAATCGATAAAATCGATATCGATCGATACGAAAAGTAGCCTATGACACCCGCCGGGGCCCGAAGTGTATGTGTGCCAAGTTTGGTCCCGATCGGTTCAGAAATGGAATTTTCTATTCGGAACATACGTACAGACAGACATACATACAGACAGACAGACATACATACAGACAGACAGACATACACACATACATACAAACAGACATTCAGCTTTATATATAAGATATACATTACGAAAAATATACAAAAACAAAAAATAGTTAAATAAACAAAAAACAACAAAATCACAAATGAAAATCACACTCAAATTTACAATTTTACATCCGCACTGCTGTCAAATGGTTTTCGCTGTGACAAATTTCGACCTTTTAATACAAAAACTATTTATAGAAGCTGTTGGTATGTATTCCTGTCTCATATTCTTCTCTAAAGCTGCGCATCGCATCAATAATTTTATTTCGGCGCAATACATCCTTCTTTCGCAATGGCTTCACGCTTCGAGGATGCTGAAATTTTTTTTACAAATGCATAGGACTAGAAAGTATCAAACAAAAAAAATTAAGCAACCTCCAAGACATGGAGAAGAGTGCCTAGCGCGACAACTGATATTCTCTGTAAGCATTCGAGAAACTGCTCGAAAGGAGGGTGCGTTCTTCTCCCCAACAAACCGCGCAATTTCCTAGAAAATTAATGTACTGGAATTTCAGGAAAAAAGAAATCGAATATACTTATGGCTTCGGCAGCGTTTGTAATCATGAGCTCCTATGTTAAACTTGTACCACATGCCCTTGTAGACCACCTCGAACCATGTTTCGCGTTGATATTCTAGGAACTTTTTACATGGTTCGTAAGAAGGGTGCCTACTGTTGACCAAAGGGTACAACAGCGCTGGCACCCTACTATTAAGCTCCTTCGGGAGAAAAGCTATCTCTTTTATTGTGTGCCACCACCTAGATACAGCTCTAATCTTTCCTTTCAATGGTAAAAATCAGGTGTCTTTGAAGAAGTATGTTGATCCAAAATGTTACTGCCTATACTTTGCTCCCTTAATAATTGCCTAAGGCTTAGATGTTTGGCCATCCTATTCCAAGCCTGTGCAATGAAAAGCACAGCCTTGGAGTGTGCGTTAGGGAGAGCTTCCCTAACTGCCCTAATCGCGGCCCGAATTTTGAATAAATTTCAGCAATATAAAAAATATAGAAAAAACCTTATCACCTTCTCATAATCTATTAGGTTGTTAAATAAGTCTTGTTTCTTTTATTTCTTACGGCGATAAGTTATGCACCTTATATTCTTTACAGGGCTCCAGGATACCATTCGATAGAGCAAAGCAAGCTCTACAAGACATTATGCAAAAGTTCGTCCCAACTTCGACCCACCGCAAGTTTTGCATCCGTGGTTGCATTGGAGGCTCCAAAAATCGCGAGAAATTCATATCTTTGTTCAAAAATTTTTCACAAATTTCCAACCCGCTCATAAAAATTCCACACTGTATCAGACACTCATATGTACCGTTGCTGTATTTTTTCCACATCTAGAAATCGAGAAAACGAAAATTTTCTTGTTTTTGCAAAAACGAAGCTACTATGCTGTTTCCATTTAAGTAGCTGTATACCACAAGTAAATTGAAACCATACCTTCGATAGTCAAGAGTTAGAGCCTAGAAAGTGATAGTTGTTTGAGTCCTTGCTCCCTATAGAAAGTGAAGGTTGTTTTAGAAAAAATAGATGGAAATTTAGAGATCTGAATTGAACCAGGAAACTTGAAAAATTCATATAAAACAGAGGCTAACATATCACCCAATTTAAAACCTTATCTTGGTGGTTTCCTACGCACATTTTTGTCTTCAGAATTGCCGGTTAAATTGGGTGGCAACAAGAACAAAGTTCTTTTCTGATTGAAAAAAAGCGTTAGCTGTGGCTGTAGTTGGGAAACCGAAAGAAGGCAAACTTGTCAACAACTAAACTGAACATGTTAAACATGTCTGAA